GCTCGGGGAGGTTCCCTCCCGTTGGGCCTGAGCCGGGCGGTCGGCGCTGGCAGGGCCCTGTAAGCGCCTGCGAGGGGCCGTCGCGGGGTCTGCGGCCTGTCACCCGCCGGTGAAACGCTCCTGGTGGCCACAGGCGCTGTCCGTCGGGGACCCCGTCAGGTCTTGGGAAGAAGAGCTTGGTAACGTGAAATGAGCGCCCTACAGTACCTGTTTGGGTGGGATAACAGGTTTAGAAAACCTTTTGCTACGCTTCTCGTGCGGTGCTTCAGTGCTGAGCCGTGAGATAGATTGGGAAAGCTGCCAGGCGGGCATGGAGCATGGAAGTCTCCAGTTGGCGATGACGAATGGGACACTTGGACTCAACACAGCGCTTCGGGGCCTGGGAAGGGCGATGCCTTCTCTCCGTGTAGGTTAGGTGCCCTGTAGGGATAGACAGCTAGATGCTGCAGCCTGAAGGGAGTCACGAAAAAGAGAAAAAGGTGTCCAAGGTAGAGGGTCAGAGGACTCTGGGATGTGGGTTATGTAATTTTTCCTCAGAAAGTCAGCTAATGGCTTGTAATAGAGTTGTGGGGGTTCCAGGTGCCGATTGGTTACTATTAACTATCAGCTAATCCAAAGAACACCACAGATTATAAAAAACGTAACTTCTAGTCCATCAGTGCATCAACACAGTTTGCTACCTGGAGTACTGGCAAATCAGTTTTAACATGGATTTACTTTAAGTTGCACAAGGGCATCTTCCTCACTCCCAAGCTGGTAGCTGTGGTGAAGTAACTAATTGTCAAATAAAAACACGTTTGCAAGTGAACCCGAGTGCTGTTGTGATAAATGCATTTATTATATTATTTTTTTTCTATGTTCAAAATAAAGAATGAGTCGGCCAACAGTAAAAAGACCAGAGGGCTACTAGACCTAGCTGTGCACATGAAGAAAGGCTGCCGATGGATGTAGTGAACATTGTGAATCCACATCCAGCAGTGGTGATCATTGTTTGTATTTATTTTAGTAATCAACAGAAGTCCTGTTGTGGTGACAGGACTTCTTTCTTCTTTTTTTTTCTTTTTTTTTTTTTTAAATGGTGTGGTTCAAATGTTGAATGGTTGGACAGCACCTGGATTTTCCCAGAGGCCTCTTTCAGAAGAGGGGGCTTTTCATCCCTGGGGAGAGTAGGCTTATTCTCGACTCTGCTCGCTTCTACAATGCAGCTTCCAGCAAGGAGTGTGGGATAGTGCCAGCTGTGGTGGTGACATTTCACGTGATTCAAGCAAATGTCAGCTAGGAGTTAGCTTGAGATGACCTATTTATTTCATTTAGGTTGCGCAGCGGGTGTTGCTGGCAGTGATTTGCAGACCGGATTGACCTGTCCTGGAGTAGATGAGGTAGAAGCTAAAACAAGCTAAAACTGTCCCTATTTCTTGCCAGTTCTCTGAAATACGGAGCCTTCCTTGAGCAGTGAAAGGAAGCGGAGCGGATAGTGCTGCTCTTGCCAGAGGCAAGGGCTGGAAGCAAAGTGACTTTGGCATGTTCTTGTAGAGGCTTTCTGCATTTTGGTTTTCTGGGGAATCGGAGGTGCTCCAGTCAACTGTCCCTTGCTTAGACTTTCTTTTAGGAAGGTTAGCTAAGGACTGATAAGTTCTCCTGATATTTAATTATGCTTGTCTTGTCTGACTAGTAAAGCTGGGATGTAAAGGCTGCCCGATATACCTCTGTATTCCCGGGATGCTTCGGATGGGGGGAAATAGCCACACCTCCAAAGAGCCCTCAGGCAGAAAAATGCCTGAGGCACTCCCAGAGCAGCACAGGCTGCTAGTCTTAGCATCTGCCCTTCTTCTATCACTCTGGATATTTAAACTGAGTTTTTAATCTTCATTCCTTCAGATAAAAAGTGCAGTTCTCTCAACTCAGGAGTTCATTGGCAAAACTGAAAGCAGATAATCCCTGGGAACTACTCTGCAGTCTGGCTTCTGCTAATACCAGGTAACTATAGTCACTGCATGCTCAGCCTGAGCGGTAAAAGAAAAGGGTAGAAATTGAGGGCTGGGCAAAAATAGTACTGAGATAAGCCTGAAAGCAAGGTAGATTTTTTTTAATAATTTTTTTTAGATTAAAGATTGTGTGCAGAGGAAGAAGAGGATTATGTCTGAAATTGTGATGTTTCCCATGCCTGTGGTATTTGAGCTTGAAGGGAATCATGTTTATCACTCAGAAAGCAATTTCTATAGCTAATCAGCTCTGCTTAGACCCCTTCACAAGATAACCTTTGCCAGAAAATAGTCCGTCCAGCAGTTTGTTTAGTGGGTTATTGATTCCCCAGGTGTCATTCTTTTGACCCAGCTTTTTGTCATCTCCTGTTATCCACGCCACCCTGTAGGGATATTGCTTCTAGCAAATGTGAACAAGCTTGAAGACACTTCCTTATAGTGAGTGAGTTCCCCTCCTGTCATCTTGTGGAAATGCAAGCATTCCCTTTCCTTTTGAATGTATAAAATGGGCAGGAACTGGTTTGGTTGCCAGTTTGATGTGGTTGTTGCCTTCATTAAATAGCTCAGGGTCTGTTGTAACACAGTGTGTGTGGGGTATGGGTGCTGTAAAACTCCAGAACTTTGGAGCAGAGGGTACTGAATGTGGAGGTGAAAAATAGGACATTGCTAGTTAGGGTTTGTGGCAGCGAGATGTGGCAATGGTTAGATCTGCAGCTAAGGTCGCTTCACAGGAGACTGAAGCTGATTTTGCATCAGAAAATTAGAGAGAAAAATTAACTGCATCTTCCCCCCCCCCAGGAAAGTGACGTGTTTTTGGAAGTATGTATTTGTTGCTGTGGTCTGATAGTAAGATTGAACAGCTCCTCATTTTTCTGAACCAAACGTTCTGGAGGAAGCCCTACAGCAGCATTTCAGCTAGCCTGCTTTTGAAACTCCAGTATTTAAGAGAACTTACTGCAGGGGAATGGCCCTCCAAGGGACTTTTGGCATAGCTGGTGGCTTCTGTGTACTTTAGGCATACAAAACCAAAGTGCCCCCATTTAGGAAATTGAATGAAGAGCTGTGTCTGGATGTTTGGGCTGGGATTCTCTGTATGTCTGTATTGTAGGTGTAGCTAAGCTATTTGCTTAGGCTTCTTTTATAATAAATAGTGAGAGGAAGGGAAGGCAGGCAGTTAGCACAGTGCTGTTGGTCAGTTTTAGATGGCTGCCTTAGAATCAGATCAATTGTTCATTAGAGCCCCTGATTGTCTCCATTAATGATGAAAGCCAAAGGTGACAGTTGCAGAGTGGGTTATCTGATTAACTTTAGATATCAACATCTGTCCGTCAAAATGAGCTTTATGTATCCAGCTGAAGGAAATCAATTTAAGCCTGTGCTTAGAGGACAGGACTTTCTCAGCAAGGTGATGCAGCCTGCAGCTCGGTGCCTCATGGCGGCAAGGGCTGCTGTCTATGCTTCACAAAGCAGAGCTCTGCATTGAGGGGAAACGTTGTCTTGAAGACAGTAGTGGCTTAGAGGCCATCTTAGCTTGTGGAGCTGAGAGGATTGAAGTGCACATCTAAATTCTTTTAAGTCTCTACCTTTCAGATTCTCTTTAAAAAATAATTTAATGTAGTAGCATTCTGTCTTCTGGAGAGTTGATATCATTTGATTTTATGTGATCCATCTTTAAATGTCAGGGATTTTGCAATTTGCCAGGGAGTTGCCATATGCTATTGTAAAGCTGGGCTCCGAGATCTCAAATTTTGATTCTTTCTCTTTAGCCTAAGTGGAATAGGGCAGTGTAGTATGCGACAAACCAACAAATCTAAGTGGCTCCGAGTAGTTTTTAGGGAAAGGGAGGGTCTCCATTTGAGAATGATCACCAAGTCTGTTGAGGTATTGGTTCAGGCCCATGCTCATTTGATCCAAGAGACAATGCTGCTGGTGGGAAACCAAATCCTCCAGTTCATGTGCATTCAGCTACCTGTCAATAATGTCTTTGCCTTGATGTCATATTGCTCATAGATTTCATTTGTCTTTAGTAGCTGCAATACCTACTGTTTCTTTCAGAGAAATGTGTCTGAGCCAAAGGTGTTAACAGGCCCTGGCTTCTTGAGAGAGGCTGCCTTAAATACTGGGCTCACACTTTCAGAAGTAGATTTTTGACAGGCCAGTACTTTTCCTTTGGTAGCTCTGAGTGCTCAGGAAGGATCACGTACAGATAGCCTTTTATTCCAGAAACAGCAGAATAGGACAAACACATAAGTAGCAATGGGTGTTTGTTGGTCTCTGACACAGCCCATGGTCCAGGGAGACATGTTCCTATCAGGCACCCAGTTTACAGAAACTGTGTCAGTAAGCAGCTCTTTTGTTGCAAAGCAGCCTATTTATTGTTTTCCCTCTGCAGCTTAGGGAATTAACTGGGGAAAAAAAAAAGTTTTGGGGTTTTGGATGCAAGATTCATACCAGAGTCTCTCTGGCTGTTTCCAAAAGTGAATATCTTCATAGCATTACCTTAATACCTTTTTCTAGTACAACGTTGGTAGTCAGTAGGTTGAGCGAAACATATTTCAAATTGAATGGATCTTGGGTACCTCTCATGCAGATCCCAAGGTATGTTGCATTGAATTGAATAACTATCAGTAGTACATAGATTCAGCTAACAAAAAGGCACCTAGCGCTGTAGCTGACATTGTGGTGCAATGCGATGTTCTTGTGGTACCCAGATGTGCGAGATACTGTGTATGTAGTAACTGCCAGTAATTCCACACCATTTGGATATGGAGAACTGAGTGGCATTATATCACTGGGTAGTTAGTGGCTGCCTACCGGTGCAACAGAAAAAGCTTTTGCTTTTCCTGCAGCTGCTGCTAGGACAGATGAGGTGAGACTGCTTCAGTGATGGAATCCACTCCTGCCATTTCCAAGCAGAATATTGGCCCACAAGGCTGGGTTGCGCAGTGTGTGAAATGCAGTGCGAGCCCCCAAGTCCTGCTGAGTATCAGGTCAGGTTCCTCAGTGCTCTGCTGTTTCTGCAGGGCCGTGGTGTGATGTGGGAGGCTGACTCCTTTTCAGAAGATCTTGGCTGTTCAGGCAGTCCCATATTAATGAGCGACTTTTGGAAGTATTGGCATGTAGCAGGAGGTGCCTTGTAGGATTCATTTTCTACACGGACTTTTTTTTGTTGTTGTTCTTCTGAGGTAATGCTATACTGTAAGGATAGGCTGAAAGTATGAGGTTGATGAGATTAAGTAAGTATCTCTCTTTCTAAAGCTGGAGCAGAGGAGCAGAAATGGCTTTTACAGCTGTGGCTAGGTTAACTTTGTGATGTAGATGTGGCCATGATGTGCTCCTGCTGCTCTGAGGGGGAGGGAGAGCGACAGCTTCTAAAACTTCTCACTTTCCTGCACCCCTTGCCAGTCTCTGTGCCTGGGGAGCTCCAGCTGCCCAGTTTAATTCACTCATTGAGAGTGGGCAGGGTGGGACAGCTGGAATGGAGAGCTCTCTTGTTTGAGAAATGGTACTGGGAAATAAAATCCTAACTGATGCCAAGCCCTCCAAAGATGGAGAAACCCTCTCTTCGTAGCTTTGTCTAAAATAACTACTAGAGGTCTTGAGACCCAAAGCAGTAACATCTACAACAGAGTTGGAAGATGCTACTATAAGAGACGTCTAGTAACGTGAGCACCCTGGTGGAGTACAGCCTGCTACGGGGCCTAATTATGGTCTTATTAATGCTTTCTTTCATCACTGCCTTCCAGCCTTCAGATGGTGATTAGACCTATTTATAGGGGCAGAGTTCCTTAATATTCAGCACAGTGTACCTCTTGCCAACCAAATCAGTACCATCTGCATCTTTGATTGCTGCTTAATAACACTGTAGAACATGGTTAATTAAAAAATATAAATAGACTTTTCATCCTCTTAACTTATCAAAGTGCTTCTCCCTCCCACCCTTTCTGTCCTTTCTCTCCCCCCCACCCCCCCAAAAAAAAAAGGTAAAGTTGGCTTAGCACAGGGACTGTGGTGAACCTCTCATCTCACTGCTGGAAATACATCTTGCTGTCCTACCCAGGATAGTTACCTATTGTGTGCTCTGCTGGAAGACTAAATTTCAATGAAATTGCACAATGAAATAGGACTTACATCTAGGCTCTTGTGCTGCATTTACCACCAGAGTGTAAGCAACTTCCAGCTTTCATTTCAGTTGCGTGTCTACATCTGTGTGAGTGCATGTGCACACACTGCCGTATCCTGTCCCTTAACAGGAGAAGCATATGCAATGACATCTTTTTGCTTTTCTAGCATTTTAAGTCTCTTTTTTAAATACAGTTCCCTGGCTTTGCAGCTGGTAAACTCACAGGAGTGTGCTTTATCTGTGGAGGGCAAGGTGATAAAGTTGTCTTTTTTTTCTTTTTTTTTTTCCCCTTGGAGGAGTTCATTCTGGTATTTTGTTGGAATGGCCTCTAGGCAGGCTTCTAGTACAACCGAGGTATGACTTGAATATGCCAGCAGATTTGATCATGATTTGAAATTCTGTGGGAAGCCTGTGCGGAAAGTAGAGAATGAGGATGATGTAGTAGTATATTAAGTACAGTACTAGGGAGTACCGTAGTTAAGTGTACAGTAGAAGAAGTTTGTCATGAGACACACAACTGACATTGTAGCAGCTGGGAACTTCGTGAGCTCTAAAAGCCGCATTTAGGTATTGTGAGCAATGTGCTGATGTGGTACACTAGATTGGAGCAGAGGAAAGTGAGAATAACAGAGGTCTGTTACTGTCAGCCAGGATGGGACAACGTTTGTCCAGGTAAACATGGTAGAAAGTATTATGTGTGAGAAATTACTGTCAGTGAGGAATTTGGGATGACTTCTCACTGTGAACCAAGTTATGCATGTGACTTTCCTCTGTCAGAGGAGGCAGCACCTTGTGATAAGCTATGCCCAAAGCCTGTCTCTACTCCATCTTTGGAGTGTGTTTAATCTTAATCTGTAGTTCCTTTGTGACTT